ACGACAATGAAGTTTTCCGAGTTGGAGGAGGATTACAAAACTCAATATTACGTTACGATAGCAAAAATCCAATTATCTTATCCTATGCGGCTCACCCAAAGCTAGTAATATTGAACGCTCACGCCAATACACTACATGGAGGCAATAAGCGACACTATCCTATACAAGAGGCCGTTTCTGGATAATAAATGGAAAACGCCGGGTAAAGACGATTATTAGCCACTGTGTAAGATGTCTGCGATTCAAGGCTCGAACAATCGAGTAACAGATGGAAAATCTTCCAGTTTCCAGAATAACACCGTCGCACTCATTCCGGTGGTGTCGACTACGCATCCATATCAAAACTACAAAGAACAGAGGTTACAAATCCTATAAAGGGTATATATATATATATATATATATATATATATATATATATATATATATATATATATATATATATATATATATATATATATATATTTCAATCTTTGTCTGTCTTGCTACACAGCTTGCTACTCACATAGAAGTTGTCAGTGATATGTCATCAGACACGTTCCTGGCAGCTTTCCGGCAATTTATTTCCAGACGAGGAAGTCGAGGAAAATGTGCGCATCTATATAGTGACAATGGCACCAACTTTATAGGAGGCAGTTAAATACTCCATGATGAAATTTATAATATAGAAGTCAGAGATCCAAGATACCTTAGTTACAGGTAAACCCCAATATGGCACTTCATTCCCCCAGCTTCTCCTCACTTTGAAGGACTATGGAAAACTGGCGTCAAGTTTATGAAGTTCCATTTAAAACAATTGGCGATAGGTACATCTCCAATGTCTTCTTTTTTTCCTTCATTTTTATTATATTCATTTTTTTTTTCTCTCATATTGTTCATTGTATTTTGTGTATTGTATTTTTTTTTATAAATACACGTCCAAGGTAAAAGTCATTTGAACAAAATCTCCATTAACAAAATGCCAATTTACTTTCGCCAGAAAATTTCTCTTCCTCAATTTAAAATCGCCCAGTTTGGTGCGCGTATATGTAAAAATTGTTAGATGCAATTAACCAGATAGTCGCCATATAAGTATATAGGATATATGAACGTTATATCTAGGTATCTATATCAAGAGACCGATAAAATTTTAACGGGATAGAGAAAATATAACTGAATATTTTCCATTGGCGAAGCTTGAAACAAAAAAAATCTGTGAAAAGTCATTAATTTTTTATTTTTCCAGGTTGCTTTTGTTTCAGACGAAAATTCGATAAAGAGCTTAAACAATGTCCCATCAGTCAAACGGAGATTAACGTGTCAAACTCGATTAGAATTCTAGATTTGTCGATTAGATATTTATATTAAAAACGGATCTATGGGTCGAGGGGTTCCTACAGGGCCGGCATGAAACTGTGAATAATGGCCCAGAGCTGTCGGATAATTTTTTAAATAACGATAAGCCCGACTCTGACAGCATTCTACCAACCACATTGCTTGCAAAGATAAGAATGGAGTTATTAGCGCTATTTATCACCTATATGACTATTTCCATTTGTAAATAATTGAGGAAAAATTTTTTGACCTTCGGTTTTAGATTTATCGTACAAATTATTTTGTTGAGGAAATATTGACAAATATTCGCTAATTGGAAAAAAATATATATGTATTATCAACTACCTACCTACCATTTTCTTCCGTCTATTATTATCATTAGGTGTGAACGTTTGAAGGAAAAACAATCTACCTAATGTTGCTTTCTTTGGAGCATTTTCAACTTGGAATTGAATGTGTTTTTTGTGGAAACGGTTGAATTCAGAAAAACATTCCACATATTCGATATTCGGTTTGATATTCCAAGAGTGGCCATAGGTGCTAAGTCAAAGCAGATAAAGCTTAAAGGAGAGTCTCTAAATGTAAATGATAGCTTTAAGCATCAGATTCGACTCTGTGATGAAGCTATATACAAGAGCCTCTCCTCAGAGTTAATGAACAACTATGAATATGAGAGCCTCTAAATAGTAAAAATTCTACACCCAATAATACAGAATAGTTCATGAAACAGCTAAAAAACGAAATTCTCTCTTGCTTGAACAGGAAATTATTATGCAGAATAAAAACCATTTCAATTTATAACTGAAATTATTTAAATTTTCCAAGCGAGCACATTTTATTTTATTTTTCTCTGTTGAATTTTAAAATTTGATTTCGATTTATATTGGAAACTCCGCGGAACGTTGAATTAAACGAGCGCTTAAATTGAATGTTGACGAACGACATCAGGGGCTTTTCATTAAAATTTTGTTACTGATAAAAAATTCAACTAGAAAGAATAAATAGAATAAATTCATATAATTAAATCTGGAAAATTTAGACAAATTAAATAAAACATTATTATTGAATAATTGATATATTGGCGCCCAATTGTCCAATGATCATGATCGTTTGAAAAAAACTGTATGTCTGTGTAATGAGCTAATTATTCTGTAAACATTGATAATTGGCCTATTAATATTCACAACGGGTTTTCTAACGATTATTTTGCCTATAGGCGCAATGGTATAACTAAATCTTGGGCTTCTTGTGTGGGATTTGATATTTGTTCGAAAATAAGGCCTTTACTGTTCCTAGAAGTCACCTTGGTATATCTAAAAAAGCAAATAATCGAGCAGTAATCACTGATATTGACTTACATATGTCGATTCAACAAACATTCAAGATGGATTGGTTTATCTTTTAATACTCTATTGGCTTGAGCAAACAAACATCTACCAACTTTATTTGGTAAATATGAAAGATTAAAAGATTATGTCACTCATAAAAAAATTAATAAACATAAATTACTTAGTTATTATGTTCATCATACAACAGAAAATTGATTTCAAACTTTAAATTCTTCATTAATTATTAGTATTTTAATTAAATCCCTCTTAACTCATATGTTGATACGGTCGTCCGGGTTAATAGGATTTATTGATTAAATATCCAGCAAAATAAAATAATCGACAAAAGCCTCATCATTTTCAATTTGCTGGCAAAGCGGGTGCTCTAATGCCAAGCGCTAAAATTGAGCACATTACACTTTGTAATGGAGTTTGATAGTTTTCGAAAGTTTCAAGCGGAATTAGTTCCCGAACGCAATATAGTTCGAAATTTGTATACCTTAGTCGACTTGTAGCTTATATTGGTAGATAAATTGGAGTCGTGTATTAGAATTTACGTTACATGGAATGTTGTAAACTTAGACTCAATTCAAATTGACGTTTAAGATTTTATTTTCAAAAAGAAAAGTCTCAAGATACGTTCCCAGACAGTTCACAAAGTATTAAAGACGTCTTTGTTAGGTCTGCATTACGTCTGAACATCTACGGACCAAAAAAAGACGTCTAGAAGACGATTTTTTCAAGATGTCCATAATATGTCGTAAATTCACATCTTAAAGACAACTTTTGGCACAACCAGAAATCTCGTCTCTGGAATGTCTTAGTCCTAAATACTCCTAAAGACACTTTAGGCACGCGCCTGGAAGACGTTGGATTTGTAACAATAACGTCTTCAAGATGTCTTTAAGATGCCTCAAAGGAGTAGGTAATCAAGATGTCTTGAATGTCGTTTGTGGACATCTTATGGGCGTCTTTAGGATATCTACAAACATTTCCCATTCCTTTCTCATTAATTTTAGAAATTACTGGAAATGAACAGAACACTTTAGAGCTTCAATAAGCGTTTTGGAAAGTTCAAAATACAATTCAGAGTTTCCAAAAGCATTCTGCAGCGCTTCAGAATATTTTGAAAATTTCAGAACCACTTTATGAAATGCTCCAAAACATTCAAAAATCGATTTACAATTCCCAAAAGCATTTTAGAACAATTTAGAAGTTTGAAACTTGAAACCCATAACCCATTTTAAGGATGCTCCAAAACACTCCAAACTCAAACACTCTCTAGAAACATTTTGAAAAGCGCCAGAATCAGGTTAATTGTTAACAACAAAACACCTTTCAGAAGTCGTTCGTTCAAGACTCAAGAGAGAACTTAGATTGCTGTAGAACTTTAAATCTTTAATAGCAGGCATCCAAATAAACAGTTCAATTCTAAATCAGAATTTTCAGGGGCATTTTGGAACAATTTAGAAACTTCAGAATTATTTCAGAACAATTTAGGATTCAATTTAGAACTGGAACTGATAACTTCTAGAACTCTTTCGAACCAATTTAGAACTCTTTTGAACCAATTTAAAACACTTTGGAACTTCAATAGGGCTTTAAAAAAAACAATTTAGAAGTTACTGAAAAACTTCTTAAATGCTCCAGAGCCTTTCATACGCGAATTTAGAACACTTTAGAACTTCAATATACGCTACTGCACTATATGGTAAAGTGCTACTTTCCACTTGCAGATAAGTGCAGTAAAGTGCACCTTACCGCACACTCGTAGGTAAAATATTCCAAAATCAATATTCGAGGTGAGCGGCTTGACTAGCGAAGTGAGGCTGGTAACAATCTTTGGTACAAGTAGCGCCACCTTATAAATTTGTTATCAAACAGAAAAATGGTGGCAGGATTTGGTACTAGAACCAAAGAATCTAGAACAATGAAAATTAACAGTTCATGTTCAAATGAAATTTCAGTGACTTGTGTATAGGGGACATATCGTCTGAATAACAAAAAACAAAAATACAGGAGGGGTTATCGAGCCACTACTTTTTTATTTCAATAATAAATGAGAAAATATCGATATGATACCTATTTTAGATTTGTTTATGATTCAAGTAGAAGTAGTGTTTTTGAATAGAAGCCTTTTCTTGAAGCATATCAGAATCAGTAAAGATGTGCTCAACGTTCAACGATGGCTTTGACGATGGTTTTTGTTTTGCAAGATCCTTATCGATCTGCCAAATTTATATCAATATGCATAAGTTAAGTTTGCCTTGCCTGCCTAAAATTTATAGGCAAAATAAAGAAAATACTCAAATGACTTCTTTTCAAAAATTAGAGGGTTTTAAAAATGATGAAGACTAGCAATCAATATCAAATTCCTTAAAAACAAGTATTTATTAAGTCATAATTCCTTATAAACTAACAATCAGTATTTAAATCTACTGAAATTCGTTGCTTATTTCTTGGCAAAAGAAATCTTCATAGCATGCGTCGGTGTGATCTTGAACCCTTGCAAAGCGTCCTTAGCTGAAGCTGATTGAAGCTCGTTTTCAAACTCCACAAAGGCAATATCGTGCCTGTTTGGTACCAGACGGACTTCTTTGAACCCAGGGAACCTATAGCACAAAACAAAATGTTAATTCATTTTCTATACACTTTAAGCCAATAAAATACTTACTGATTAAAAAGCATAGACAACATCATCTCGCTTGTTTCATCAGGCAAATTAGTAAGGAAAAGAATTTGGTTTGGAGGTTGTTCAGCGTTGGGGCCAGGGATTCTGTTGGGGTCCTTGCTCTTCTTCTTCTTTCTTGGAGCCTCTTCTCCTTGAATTGTTGGAGGTTTGACACGTTTGGGTCTCTCCTGGAATGTGCCTTTCATTTTGGATATTACATCCGAGTCAGACTTTGAGTATTGGATTCTCTGCAAAATAGAGGTTTAAAATGTGCCTGGTGCAATGCACAAGAACGGAATCTTAAAATAGTTCCTACTTAGGAGTAAAGTGTTATTTTTATTTACTTACCATTGGTTTATCGTAAAATGGGAATCCTTGCATGGATCTAAGGGCGTTGGTGGAGCTTTGAATTTCCTTGAAAATGACAAACGCTTGACCTCGCATTTTCAAAGTTTTCAGTGCCACAATGTCCATAATTTGACCGAATTGGGAAAATATGGCGTACAGCGACTTTTTAAGTTCCACTTTTTTGATTTTTTCATTCAAATTGTTAATGTAAATCGTGTTGTTTGGCCGGATGTCCATTTTCGTCCTGAAAATGTGAGGTTAGATTTGCGAAAGTAAGATTCCTTGGAAAATATTACCTTGTTTTGCGAAACTTATGGATCTATACGTGGAGCGGTTAGTTTCGTGTACGAGGGGACAATTAAGGACACTATTTTTATAGATTTTAAGAAGAAGCTTGTTATTTATCGAATGATAAACAAGAAAATGGAGGATAAATGGCGCTTCAAAAATGTAAAATGACAATATGACAATTGTCAATGTCACGTCTCAAAAAAAAATTCTGTAATAGGTGCTTTCTTCCAGTTGCATTCGACTTCTCTGCACTAGTGCACTGCACTCTAGAGCTATTAAATTGAAAAATAATTCTTCCAAATAATTTATTAGTCATGAACCAGGACATTTTAACACAGATAGATACTGCATGTCATTTTGAACCCTCGTTTTTAATCTAATTGGTGACTTCAGCGACTTCACCGATGAGTTAGCTATCTTTGTTTAGTGAATGGAAAATGACAATGACCGACATAGAATGGTTTACAGTGGTTCATCCATCGGTAAGATGAAAATAAAAATGCAGGGAATCTGATGTTTGTTGTGAATACAAGACCCCCCATTAGCCAGAAAGAGGTGGGCTGCTTAACGGGGGTCGACCCGCCTTTCCATCTGAACCAGTGAACCAGTCATTCACTCGACTAATCTGTGCACTTGCACTTGACCAAAATAAAATAGGTCTGTTTCTGCAGAAATCACAAACCAGTCAGAGTGAATTTCATTGGTTGAAAACAGTCAGAAAAGTTTCAACCAATGAAGTTCACTCTTACTGGTTTCTGCTTTCTGCAGAAACAGACCTAATGAAGAAGATTCGCACAAGAGCAACTCGTTTTCTCTATATGCCTCTATAAAGTGCGTTTTTTTTTTAAAGATAAAAGTCAAAGTGAAATAATGTTGGCAATACAATGGAAAATTGTCAATGCTTTCAAATTTTTTATGTAGAAAAGGCTTGTGTTGCCAACATAGTTACTAAATTTTTGACTTGGGGAATTATCTTTAAAAAAAAACACACACTTTAGTCGTATTTCTCTCAAGAGTTTGAAACACTAGAGCTACTCGCTCCGGTGTTAGTCGACTCCGATTTGAAAGGAACAAAAACGCTGGCTTTCGAGCATTTAAATGGTTTAATTCGGGCTTGGGCGCTTCAAGTGCAACAGACACTTTTCGAAAGGAATAAGCGCATAAAGTCCCGGATCTGTTCCGGAGCTTCTCCTAGGTGTGAAAGGAATACAACTAATAATGGACGTTTGCACCCAACAAGGATGATACACACCTACTCCCAAGGATGAGACACACTACTACTACAGGATAACCTATCCTCATAAGGCCTTTGTGTAACAAAACCCCTCCTTTACCCCCACACCCCTTCCACAAAATACCAGTTCTGACGTAGGCAGCATGTTATTTCTCCCCTTGACGTAGGCTGTTTAAACAGCTGACGATTCAGTTATAACGTCGACAATGGTGGCACACCAATATGACGGCAACTACCAAAAACGAGGCCGATAAGCACTCCTTAAGCTTAATTCTCACTTGCGCGAAATTCGCCCTTTTTTGACATTGCCACGACAATTTGACGTTTGATACACGTATAAAATGTCAAATTGTCGAAGCAATGTCAAAAAAAGAGTGAATTTCGCACAAGTGAGAATGAGGCATTATAGTGTATATTCTCCTTGACCTACTCCTACGATTGCTTATCGGCCTCGTTTTTGGTTGGTGATCGCCCCCATATAAGTCTTCCGACGTTATATAACTAAGGGCGGGTAGTATAAAACTGCTTTGACAGTTAACTTGAAGTTAACTTTCTGAATTACCATCGTCACCAAAAGTAACTGGGACAGCATCACATTAGCTCTTGTCCTATTATATGAATTTTATTGTCAAATTTTTGTCAAACTATGAATTAAATGCATTGAAATAAATGACACTAGAATTAGTCCAGGGGATTATTATACATTATTTGTGTCCCAGATACTTTTGGTGACGATGGTACATGTATTTTCAGAAGTTAACTCTCAAAGTAGCCCTAAGTCGTCAGCTGTCAAGGTGAGAAATAACAAGCTACTACGTCACAACTGGTGATTTGACATGGGGGGGGGGGGAAATTGTTACACATAAGCCTTATGAGGATACGAGGATAGGCCATCCTGTAGTAGTAGATTCCGCGTCGCAGTAAAGAATACGGTGACGACACAAAAAGCTGCTCAAAGCCGGTCCGATCTCTCTCCCTCGTCTATCTCTCGCTGTTTGCCGTGACCTCGGCCGTGAGCTGAAATCAGCAGCGGGGTATCTTTTTAGAGAAAACTTGGATAGAAAATAAACTAAATGAATATGCCTGCTGGCCGTACGACAATGAACCACGTGCTTGGCGTTCGGCAGCAGCACCGAACAATACGATAGTTCGGTTAGTCTTCAAAATTGGGTTTGTGCGCATTTGACGTCACCGTACTCTTTACTCTTGGCGCGGACTCTAGTGTGCATTATCCTTGGTTTGCACGGACTATCTAAGGTCTTCCAACCTAATTGGAGGGGATACACTAGAGGTGAATCGCTCTCCTAAATTTTGGTGACGCATATTTTATTTACGGCAATGTCTATCTGTGTTGATATGTCATTGGTCATGAACTATTGCAATCAAACTCCAAATCATTGTTATATAATTATTATTATTTACACTTCTATTAATATCAACTAACGAATCTTTGTACAAAAAAAAGTATAACATATTCACAATAAATCCAGACAAAAAAAAGGGGTATATATTGTAAAAAGAGCTGCTTAAAAATGCAATGGAAGTTCACAGGGTGTTCCATTTCTTCAGACTCAATTTCATATGGGAAAACTTTGACAACATCCTATTCTTCCTAAAGTAAAGATTAAAAAACTTAAAAATTAAGTTTTAATAGTAAGATACATTTTTTTAATACTTTCGGATAATAATTTAGACCCTGTAATACCTGGAAAAGCAACTATCATGTAATATTATGCCATTAAAATAAGTCAAGCAACTATGCACCCAATTTGTCAGACATCGAATTATTCTACATCTATCCTAATATCTGATATGATGGTGTCGGCCTACAGGCCCGTTGAGACACTCCCCCAATAACCCCACGCAACTCCTCAAATACCGAAAACAATTTCTCCCAATTTCCCCAAAATATTAATCGTCATCTATCACCAACCCTGTCCTGCTCTGTTGGGCGTGTTGGTTCCTTTGCAAAATGTTCAGGCATTGGTTTAAACAATGTAGACTGGCGGCCGACGTTGCTTTGAGCAAAAGCAGGTTCGGGTCTATGAAAAATTTGCTTCCGGCTGATTCTATGCTGCGACAAAGTGCCGAGTCTGATTGTTCAGTTTGATGGAGTTGGGAACGGACACAACCGAGCGCGTCCAAGACTGCTAGGTGTTCTTTGGGTGGAAGTGGTGGACTATTTGCTGAGATGGCCTGGAAAATATAATATATATATTTTACTTCACCAATAAGTAATTCATTTTTTTTTTCCTTAGCATGACTATGTTAATAAATCTTAAGACAGAGTATTATTAGGATTATGGTTTTTTCCTCACAGAAATCAACCAACCAGAGCCTGCAAAATGGATGGCGACGTCTGATAGAAAGTGATTTTTGGGAAATTTCTGTATAGAATGGAAAAATAATGGTTCTCTTAGAGTAAAAAAATATTTTTTTTATCAATTAATTTCTTATTAAATCGCATTTAGAAAGTTACAATGTCTAAAACGAAACAAGGAAAATTGAATTTTTCTAATTAATTTCAATAAAAATATCATCCAAATAGTGAATATAAGTAGTTACCTCCTTATTCTTTGTATGATTATTTCCCAAAATTAAACTTATACTTCGCTTCAACTTCATTTTGTAACAGTTTTAGAACTTAAACAAATTACCTATAGATATTATAAAAAAACAACTTCCACTTCCCTATTCCTTTTTTTAAAATGTGGCGAGAATTGTACAAATAACTTTATTATCTTTTCAGACTGATAACAAAAATATTCTACTTGATAAGCTGAATATATTTTTTAATTGCCTCCTTTAATAAAATAATTAATTCTTTATGGTAAACAAATTATCATTTGTACTGATTACCTCTTTATTTTTCCCAGGCTGTTTATGATTATGATGATCTCCCAATATTAAACTCAACCTTCTTTTGATTTTCATGGTCGGATCGACAACAAAACCGCTGCACAAACACCGCCTGGATTGTACAACGTACACAACTAAATTGTTTAAAAATAAACTCGTTGAACTACTTAAATTTCCCAGTCACATAACACATACTGAACGTGTACATGTAGATTTTAGCTTTTAAGGCGGGGTACACCAAACAAATGTAATGAGATTTTTTTTTGTTTACCAATTAAAAAGTGTGTATTACAAATAAATTATCTGGTGAAAATTATCTTCCTGTTACCTTGCCGAATGGGTAGTACAAGGACTAATCGCAAAGCTAAATATAGAAACAATGCGCATTCTTTTAATAATCTATCATATTAAAAACAATAATTGTTAAATAAATACCTAGCCCACTCTGGCATATCAGATAAAAGCTATAAATACTCATTTTTGATTATTATTATAAGGCATGTGGAGAGCTAAATATTGATTGGGTAAAATTTTTAAAAAATCAATGATAAGAATCAAACACATCTGAACAGTTTTCCCCTGTTATATGTAGGTAGGTAACATATGTCCTGTGCAATAAAATAAGCACTCATACTTCCTCATAATAGACCACAGCCTTCAAAAAAACCAACTTAATGTCCAGTGGGTATGCAAATAAATTCCAATATGACATAACATTTTCAGGCTTTTGACCTCTGATATTCAAATGCCAAAAGTTGAATCAGTGTTTACAATAAATCTGGACAATTTATAGAAAAAAAATTGACAGAATATCAAACCTTTGTATGTGACTCTGCTACTGCTCTTAACCCGTTCACCCATTCCTGTCTAGCTTTGGCATCTACTGCTCTTAGTTTTAACATATCACCTGAAGCACAATTCACAGTGAAGGTTTTTGAATCTTCCTCACTGAAAAAAATAAATAAGTTGCTGTCATTTGTTCAGAATTTTGAGATATATATGTACGTACAGGTGAATATAATTTTATCTCATCTATATACTGAGCACTAGACTGAGTCTAAAAATACTTTTGTTTTTGATATATAACTATTTTTATGTATTAAAAACCTATCATTTTGGAACAGATGAGATAACTACAGAGGTATCAAAATGCGCTTAAGAACACTTGGCATATTTCTGATAACTTCTAGAACATCCCAGGGCTTCCAAATCATTAAAAAACCAATTTAAAACTTTGGAAAACAATTTGAAAAGCTCCAGAATGTACTAGCGCCAAGTTAAAATATTTTAGGATGCTCTAGAGCAATTTGGAACTTTGAAGTTTCAGAAGACTTTCAATTCAATCTTCAAACCTCCTGCATTTGTTTGAGACAAATCGGAATCTTTAAGAACATTTTGAAACGTTATAGAACACATTAGAACCAATTTAGAATTTGAGAGACATTCTAGAACAGAGCGGAACACTCCTGAACTTTCGGCAACATTTTAGAAAGCTTTTGGAACACTCTAGAATGCTTTACAAATCATAAGGAACGTTTGGAAACAATCTAGAACTGGAAACTTTTAGAATATCTTTAAAATCGTCACACAACACTTTAGAACTAACTTAAAACTTCTATGAACATATTAGAACACTCTCCCTCAGCTTTTTTAGAATTTGAATTAGACCTACCAAAAAGAGCTAAAGACTATTTGGGAGGTTTCCGATAACTTCTAGAACATTCCGGAACTTCACAAGTATCAAGCAACCTATTGAAAACTTTAGAAAGCATTTTGAAAAGCTTTAGAATGCGCTTGTGCCAATTTGGAACATTTTTAAACATTTTGAGACACTCTAGAGCACTTTAGAATAAATTTAAAACTTTGACTTCCAATTCAATTTTCAATCCTCCTCCATTTGTCTGACATAAATTGGAACTTGTAAGAGGCTACAGAGCACATCAGAATCAAACTAGAATTTTAGAAACATTCTAGAATGGACCAGAACACTTCCAAACTTTTAGGAACATTTAAGAAAGCTTGAGATACTTTAAAATTTATGTCTAGATCCAAGTTATAATTTCCAGGAGTATTTTGGAATGCTCTAGAACACTTTATAAATCATATGAAATGGAACATTAGAACCAAGTTAAAACTTCCATGAACAGATTAGAACAGAACACTCTAAAACACGCTCAGACGTTAGGATTTCAATAATTAGAAGCATCAAATAGCGCTTAAAAATATTTGGGAAGTTTCTGATAGCTTCTAGAACATTCCGGTTGTTTGCAAACCAAGTTTCCAACCCTGCATCTACCATTGCAAACTTATACTCTGATCTTAGTACTCACACTACTCACTATTCAGAACATCAGATTTAAGAACCTAGAAGGATGGTCAAAATCATAGTTCCTAAGATTAATAAGTTATCTGGTAATGAGTAACCTAATGACATCATCTGGGGTGCCTTATGGAGATTTGCATAGTGCATTATATTGAGGCACCCCAGATGACGTCATAAAAGTTGTCAGGCAATAGGCAACCTACCTCTCTCAAAAAACCTTGGGTCAAAATCATGAAATATGAAGCCAAATATTGAATGAAGCGTTAAAAAGTTATCGCCTGTTTAATTTATGTGCTTGGACGCACTGTATAAAACATAAGTAAATAATTATTCTCTTTATGTAGAGGTATATAGGTATGTTCTTACCTTGGACAAATAACAGCACCAGCCAAATGAAAAGAAGCCCTAGGCACTGTACCTTCGGGTTTCTCGCCTTCGCACAAATAATAGTGTAAAAGGCCTGCATTTGAGTCTACGAAAAAGTAGCGATACTGCCATCCTTTCACTACGTTGGTGTACTTGTATAGTTGGCCAGAAAATTGTCTCTGCTTTGTGTGCAGATCCATGACTGACTGAAAATTTAATTTAAACGATAAATTAATATTTATTGGATAATTAGGGTTTAGTAGTTACTTAAATGGATGTTTTATTCAATGATAATTGAATTTGTTGGTAATCAAATAGTTGTTATACAATAATAATTATTTACTGGAAATTTAAAATGAAAACAAATAAAAACAATTTTTTTCTTGGATGAAAGCTGAAAACCTAACCTCAATGTTCTTGTTGTGAGTCATGAAACGTCACTCCTTTCCCACAACGCTCCTAGCAAAAGATAAAAAAAAATAAAATGAAAAAAAGAAAAGAGAGAAGAATCCTGCCCAGGCAGAACAAATACGCAGATGTCAGGGGTAAAGAAAGATGGGAAATTAAATTAGGAACGTAAAAGATAAAGAAGGAAACTTTACTTATCTTTTATCACTTATGATAAGGTTCGTTCCACAAAGGATTCAGAATTTCGGTTCCAATCGTATGCGCAGTTCAATGGAAGTTCGAAAGACCTGACCGGAGTCTCGAGGTATGTCATCCAATCATCCGGTTGATGATTGCATGCGTTTGTGCAGTTTATTCGGATCGTTGAAAAATAGCTCTAGGGTAGTTCGAACAACATTATGGAACAAGTGTCAAATGACCGTTGCACTTTGCATTCGTTCGCATTTCATTGCGTAATCAAATGATTTATTGCACACTGAGGCTGGGTATAGTAAAATTTTGTACCGCATGCCACTCGTAGACAGGATGGAATTTAAATTCAATCTATAAAGTGCGTTTTTTTTTAAAAGATAAAAGTCAAAATGACATTATGTTGGCAATATAATGCAAAATTGTCAATGCTTTCAAATTTTTTATGTAGAAAAGGCTTGTGTTGCCAACATAGTTACTAAATTTTTGACTTGGGGAATTATCTTAAAAAAAAAAAAACGCACTTCAGATGTTTAATAACACTTTCAGCTACTGTCCCAGAGCGCATTCCGTCTGCGCGGTGACGTCACCGATTTCTGTAAGAGGGCTCCGAAAGCAATTATAATCCAAACGGAGCTAAAAAGAGCGCACCATGCCAGATTTGAGAGCGGTTTATTGCTCAAGTAGAACACGAGAATCGCTCCGTTTTAAACGGAACATGTGAATGCGCTTTGGATTGCTTTTTATCAATTGGGTCCAGTTTTGAGGCAAAAGTCGAAAGCGCTAGAAGAAGTTTAATTTCATAATAATTAATTTCATTTATATTGCATTTCTTCTATCCGTTGAGTTACTCGGAGATGCTCAATGTCAAAAGCTTGAACGTTCCTTTTAAAAGTGCGTTAAGCAATCGAGTCGCTCATAATCCAGCCCCTTTCCTCCGATGCATCAAATTTGCGGGGGGTGCTAGAAGTCCCTTTATCCCTCGTAGGATGGTTACATGTTTACAGCCGAGTTTTATGTTGTGTTTTATGTTGTGACGTCATAGTATGTCAGCCATGATCGCTAAAATGTAGTATCCCGAGTCCGATGTTAGTCGACCCCGATTTGAACGCTGGCTTTCGTGCATTTAAATGGTTTAATTCGGGCTTGGGCCCTTCAGGTGCAACAAATAATTTACGAAAGGAATAAGCGCGTAAAGCCCCGGAGCTGTTCCGGTACTCCTCCTAGGTGTGAAAGGAATACAACTATTGCCAATTTCTCTTGTGATTGGTGCCTTAGCGTTCAGAACTGGTTCTGAACCCTTACTGCGAAAGAAGTTGAATTCCTTTCACACCTAGGAGGAGCTCCGGAACAGCTCCGGTGCTTCACGCGCTTATTCCTTTCGAAAAGTGTTTGTTGCACCACGCATCTGTTCCCTGCAAATCGGGGGCGACTAAGCACCAGAGCCAGTAGCTCGAGTGTTTCAAACTCTTGAAAGGAATACAACTATTGATATCAGTTGTATTCCTTTTACACCTAGGAGGAGCTCCGGAACAGCTCCGGGGCGATACGCGCCTATTTCTTTCGAAAAGTGTTTCTTGCACCTGAAGTCCTCAAGCCCCAACTAAACCATAGCCGTTTTCTCGCGTCCACTTTTTCCATTGGTTCAAAACCGGTTTGAAACAGTCAATGGAAACACCATTGCCCGTTTTAAACCTATTTTGAAAAAAGTGGACGCGAGAAAACGGCTCATTTCACTGCACGAAATCCAGCGCATCTGTTCTTTCCAAATCAGGGTCGACTAGCACCGGAGCGAGTACCTCTACTGTTCTAGACTCTTGAAAGGAATACAACTATATTAAAGAATAATGATTATCTGAATTGTGTGTTTTGGAGTGACTCCGAGAAGCTCTAGAGCGACACGATCAGTGTAACTCGATGTATAGAAGGAATACAGTATTTGCGTGTGGCTAAATTCACCAAAATGATGCAACTCTGTATAATTTAAAATTTCTTTTTTCTACCATTCCACCACGGTGCCTACACCAGAAGTGCTTTAATTCCAGTGACCCATTTGAGTTACTCCTGAGCAGCTCAGGAGTGCTCCACAATTACTTTGCGCGTTCCAGTGCTAAGAGTGTCGTACACTTGAACTACTCATTTTTGTTATCCCCTGCCTTCTCGTGTGCCAACCTTTAATTCGGTGTTTCATGCTCCCGAAGTGCGAAATGTTGGGGGTTAAGACGAGAGCGTTCCAGTGCTGTTAAGGTTTATAGTCAGGCCGATAGTTTATTACAGCAACGCGAGATGTCAGTACTGTCGCTCCTATAGTGTGCCCTAACTTGATAGTCAAAAAAAAAAATAGAAATCTGCATTTGATTAAATTATGTGATGGAAAGTTTTTTCTTTTTTTTGCGGAAATTCGAAGTATTATTCTGTTTTACATAAACAGGGTTGTAGTTTGGACCAACACAAATAATTTTGAACGTTCATCAGTCGGATTTTTTTTAAAACAGTGTAGCTCAGGCGTATTTCCAACTATTCTTGCAGTAGCGAGAAAACTACAAGTTCAAAAAATTTGAAAAAAATATATGTCGCGTAGAATTGCAGTAGTAGTTCGTAATAAAAATAACGGGAAACTTCATCTATTCCTTTTGAAATAAATGGTGAAAAACCACTTTTTTTCAGTTTTTGCGATATAACTCAAAAATGGCGAGTCAAATTTGCTTTAAAAAAATATGGATTAAAGTATATCAATAACCATAAAACATATATTTTTTTTGGAATTTTTGAACACAAGGTTCAGAAAATGGGGGTTGACTTTAAACCTTAAGAGCCGCTTTCCAGTTGACGCTTTTGAGCACGCAATCGAGCTTTTGAGTGCGAAAATGCTTCAAGCGCGTGTTCGTGTTCCAGCCGTACTGCGCTTCGAGAGCTGCTAACTTTTGCGTTTCAAACACAGAACACTGTGCTGCACGGTGCTTGAAGCACACAGCTGGAAAGCGGCTTATGTCGAACAGTTCAAGAGCATCACACTCCAGGAGCATGATACTCTAACAATTAAGGCACTGGAAAGCAGCTCTGCTGAATGAATTTTGCCCCACGCGGTATATGGGCCGAGTTCGTTTTGTGCAGGTGCTTTCTTTCCAGATTATGTGATGTGTCCATTGTATCTACAGTGGCTATTGTATCATACTCCCCTAACTCCCCCCCTATCGAATTCTGGAATACTCGAGGACCAAGAACACTTAATTTCTTCTGTGAGAACAGACCAAAAATCACCTTTTCTATATTTAAAATTGACGAAAAAATTTAACTCACTAGCACAGCCTGAATCGCAAGCATTACATCGAGGTCTGCGGGTGATGTCATCCCTATAAGCTGCTAGTAGTGACGTCACTCGCAGGCCCGACTTGGTGGTAGAGAGTTAGGGGAGTATGACGTACACAATTGACACATCACACAACCCAGCATAATCCAATGGAGGCCTGGGGCCTTATTCTGTAAGGAACAAACGTTCGATTCGGTAGAATTTCTTCGATTGTGACGTCATTTTTGGTTTGGTTTTCGCGCTACCAAACCGAAAATGACGTCACAATCGAAGAAATTCTACCGAATCGAACGGTTCATTCCTTACAGAATAAGGCCCCTGTGTGTAACAAATCCCCCCCTTCCCCCCATAGCCAAAATACCAGTTGTGACGTAGGCAGCATGTTATTTCTCGCCTTGACGTAGACTGTTTAAACAGCTGACGACTGGTGGTGGCACACCAATATGACGGCGATTACCAAAAAAGCAGCTCTTTTTCGTCGAATAAATTCATCAAAATGTTGCACCGCCACGGATGCGGTGATTAAAATTAACTAATGACAATGTTAAACCATAGCGCCAAACTCTGTTCAATTTATTAACAACACCGCTTTTTTACCATTTCACCACGGTACCTACACTAAAGGAACGAACCGTTCGATTCGGTAGAATTTCTTCGATTGTGACGTCCTTTTTGGTTTGCTTTTCGCGCTACCTAACCGAAAATGACGTCACAATCGAAGAAATTTTACCGAATCGAACGGTTCGTTCCTTACAGAATAACGCCCCATACTAGCTGAAATTAGCTACACGCGGATAGTGCACACTGTACGCGTGCTTTTTATTTTGTTGGCAGCTCATTTGGAATCGGTTCCGGGCAAGAACACTTAACTTAGGACTGCTTTTTGAGCTGAAAGTGTCTGCCCTATCTACGCGACAAATTCCCACTGTTTGCGACGTCAGATGCAGACCTCAAACGCATTATCCTAGTTTAAAACACTATAGGTCAAAAAAACGAAGTCCCAGACATTAAAATCACGTTTTCTACATTTAAAATCGAGGAAAAAAATTCCCAAGCACAGCTTGAATTCCCAGTAATCCATCAAGATCTGCGGATGACGTCGTTACTGGTCGTGTTCGTTATGTCATCTTTTTCGTCGATTTGTTCCGGAATGACAGGCACGTGACTGGATCAGACAGTTTCAATTCACAAATCACGTGCCTGTCAAAATTTCGGAGCAAATCGACTAAAAAGATTACAAAAACGAACACGGTTGTATCTGCTTTTGATAGTGGTGACGTCACCCGCACACCTGCTGCCGAATAGAGAACTGGCAAACATGTACGTCTTATTAGGTTGAGCAATCTATTGCATGGAGTGTTTTCGGGTTCAGGGTAGCTCTACCGATTATACGGATTTTCATTCAAGAACCCGCGTTACATGCGCTATGTGGCTATATTCCAAATTTTTGAGTGGATGGAGAATTCCATTTCGGTTCCCCATTCTGAATTAGTTCCAAAACTTGTTCAGAATCGGTTCCGAGTGTGATCCGCGAACAAGGCAAATTAAATTTTAGTAGGGTGCAGGGCTGAGTTTTTAGCGTGTCTTGCTCAGACAAATTAGTGCAGTAAAATTGATATAAATGAAAGCGCTTTCTTGTGGCGTGATTCACAGCTGTTCATGCACAGTCATGTCACAGTTCACTTGATTCATGTTATGTTTTTTTCTGCAATGTTTTTGTTTTAATTTTCACCGTGTTGCTTTTTAATTAAATTTTCTAGGAGTGATTAGTAATAGCAACCTGATTTCTCCATTTTCCATAAGAGATGATACGGTAAACCGATTTTCTACAATTAGTTACGCATCGTAGCGGAACTAATCAAAATGCAAAAGAAGCGCACCGAGTAAAGACAAAAGGGGCCAAAAATACTTTAAAAAAATGGACAACGATAATGTTAAAGATGGTGCTCCAATGGGAAATGCTAACTGTGACGTTGCTGAAGAGGCTATTTCTACTGATTCTGATGAGTATCTTTCAGGAGGACCATTGAGGTAAGTCTTGGCCAATATTATTGACATACTTTATGGAATATTAATTTCAGATACAAAAACTATGATTTCGACCACTCAACCGCTTCCAACATAACACTGCTAGCCCAAAGTATGACCTTATCAGACAATAACGACAATACAAGCTTAGCCAGTAGCCGAGACAACATTTCAGTGTCTCACAGTGATATTTTAAATCCTATTCAAATACCCATTGTTGGGTATGAAATTATGGAAGAGAGAGCTCGATTTACTGTAAGAATAATACTCTATACCAATAGTATTAATAATTATTGTAAAATTCAAGGTATATAAATTAAGAATAGAAAATAAAATCAACGGGGATTGTTGGTATGTTTTTAGAAGATATACAGACTTCGTTAGGCTGTGCAATAGATTTCACAACAAGTTTCCTCAAGTTGTTAAACATTTACCAAGGAAAAGATGGTTAGTTTCATAATTATTATTAATAAATTATTACAATAACTTGTTTTAGGTTAAAAAACAATTTTGACCCAATTTTCCTTGAAGAAAGAATCAACGGCCTTCAAACCCTAGTAAACGCAATCCTAATGGACCCTCAAATGATTTGCACCAAAGAAATTCAAGATTTCTTTTGTCTGAACGAGCCTCCAGTGCATTCAGACAGCAACGAAGAATCCAGGGCCATTTTCGAAGCTCTAGAAGACACCATTGGCAGTTTGAAATTGCAGCTGCGAGAAAAGGATGCCCGTATTGATTTGTTGCAGCAAAAAGTGCAAGAGTTGCTTAACGAAAATGAGAATTTGAAAAGGAATCTTTTGAGTGCTTCTACTCAAGAGAATAAATTGTGATATTTTTAAATACAGATGATAATTTATTTTTATTATATTGTAAAGATCTTTATTATACTTGTGTTGGTTGTAATACTAAACAGTGTTGTAATTATTGTCAAGTTATGTTATAAACTTATTTCATATTTGAAATAATAATTTTATTGTTATTAGCTTTGGAGCAATATTTTTATAGAATTAATGTAATTTTTGCTGAAAAAAAATCACCTATTTTGGACAATAATTTTGTAAATAGTCTATAATTGAAATATTTTAATAAAAAATTTTAATATTCTTTGTCCAAATCATATTATTCAGTCAGTAGTTGTAATTTTTCTTGATACAATGAGTAAGCCCCTATCTTATTGATTCAATAATCTAAAAGGATGTAGAACATTATTATATTAAACCCAACCTAGTTGTAAAAAGGTAAAAATACCCATAAAGGTACTTTGCACCATTAGTTCTGACCTTGCACCGCAGGGTACCATTCATTCAAATTTTGAACTGGATCGTCTGTGATGCGTGCAGAAAATACTTCCTTCCTGGCTTTTCATTTTGACCGGAAGTTTTCGATTCGGTCCGCTTTTATTACCTACATATTATTGTGAATCTTTCAGGTGGGATATATGCTATTATATTCATCTAATAATATGAAACAAATTTAATGACCAGATTTTTTTAGTTGTTTTAATATTTTGTCAAATATACCTAGTAAATATCAGGTTCAGTTTTTCCTCTATTAAAACAGTGGAAGATTTGATTTTTTTACATTAATATTCGCTTCTTCTGGAACAAACTGTTTTATTGATTTTGTACCTATTCTTTTTCCAAATAGGGTTTTCCTCTACCTTTATGCGGTTTTCGTTTATACTTAAAGTCTTTTTTTTTTAAAGATAATTCCCCAAGTCAAAAATTTAGTAACTATGTTGGCAACACAAGTCTTTTCTACATAAAAAATTTGAAAGCATTGACAATTTTACATTGTATTGCCAACATAATGTCAGTTTGACTTTTATCTTTAAAAAGAAAACAGATTTTACTTCACACCAAACTCAGAAGAAATCTGATTTTTCTTCCTATAAAATGAGTTTATGCAAAAAATTGATCCCCCTGTCGGGTGCGTCTACTAATTTTACCTGACTGCACTGCGCCAATAAGGGCAATAGGAAAAGGATAATTAGAAAAACAAAATTACTTTTTTTTATTTATTTAAAATAGGTACTGCAAGCAATAAATATTCCTTTACCTTGGCATTATATGATAATGTTAAATGTGAAACAAATTAAGTATGCATGCCAAATATCATATTATCTATTTTTACTTTTGCTGTGAGTTTTTTTTTGTGTGCAAATTACAACTTTTTTACCTAAATACAGAAGAAGACCTATTTCATCAAGTACCTAGATAGCAGAGACATTCTCTATGGAGACATCTTAAGACTAAGACGTCCCTAATATGTCCACAAATGACAATCAAGTCTTTTTCTTTATTCCAAGCGCTAGGCTATGTTACAAAACCCAACGTCTAAAAACGTCTTTATATTACATTTTTCCAAAACATTCTAAAGACGTCTTAAACGAGATGTCTTTTAAATTTATAGTCGTTCCTTGAGTTTTCCTTGGAGGTCGTAAGTTTAGAATGGATACTTTGTTACTACTTGGCAAGTTAGCAATATGAATTCTAAACGTTCCTTAAATCTGAGGAAACTTCAAGTAGCGACTATAAATTCGGCCCGGGTTGTACCAAATCGTGTGGCTCAGTTGTCTTTATTGAGATGTGAATTTACATCTTATGGACGTTTCTTTAGTACTCATAACTGCGAAATTCGCTTTTTTTTGACAATACTTCGACAATAGGGTACCGTCAAGCTGGGTGACTTGAGACGGCCGGGCGAGTTGAGACAAAACTTTTGAGGAAACCAAATATATACCTGGCAATAATATATCCGACGCATTTTGGCGCCAATCGTATTTATTCGACTTAAGGGTTGTTGTAGTCAAGACGTGTTATAGTAATGTTTGGACCACCGCGGAAGCGATAAGTGATTTTTTTGTGCATTTTTTTACGCGTGTATGTAATTGTTGAACTAAAAAATGGCTGAATAACTTTGCATACTGTCTCTATACTGTCTAGGACTGCCTATTGAAACTTTGCTCAGAAATAGATTGATATTTTGGGCATCTTCTGGAATATAGTAAGTTACTTTCCCTTTTTAAGAAAAAAAAATATATATATGAAAAGGTAAAAAGGCGGCTGATGCGTGTGACTTGAGACTTGTCTCAAGTCACCCCAAAACTACTCAGAGTGTTATTATGTGCCTGTTTCAATTGTTTTTATTGTGTTTTCAGCCTATTATGGGAAAATACAAAAGAAAACTTGACTCCTTGGCTGATGGCCCAATGCTGATTCTGATAGCGAAATGTTGAAACGAGCGATTGAAGCACGAGTGAATCCTAACGAATATTATCAAAAAATAATGGCATTTTCAGGTGCACCATTCAACGAAAAGTGAATAATCTTAATACAAAAAATCCCGGTGGTCAAATAGTCTTTACAGTAGAATAGAAGCAGAGACTTTGTGGAAAATTTAGGAGTTTCTTGCCGTAGGGGCTTTCTAATTATGGGAAATCACTTAAAACATTTAGTAAAGTCGTAAAGACGGATGGGGTGATCAAAAATTCAAGAAAAATAACTTGCCTGGAAAAGATTAGGTCCGGCTTTTTCTGAAGAGACATTTTCAGATTTCAAGTACTCGTTGCTGTGACAATATCAAACCTGCTAGCGCTAGGAATCAATAGCCACCTTTTAAAAAACGTTTCTTTTGTCTCAAGTGATCCTTTTGGTTTGAAACATGAGCAAAAGCTTGAAATATATGGTTGTTTCAAGTAACCCACCCTAGCGTCTGACATGAGACAGTAAAAAAAAATTAAAAAACCCTGAGTAACTCGTTATTCACATAAAACTCAACTTATAAAACCGATTCTACGGGTTAAGACTCAACTTTCGACGTGTTTAAGTCATCACTAAGTTAAATAGTTTCGAAAATATCGCTTGCTGAAAGTCAAAATCGTCTCAAGTCACCCGATTTTACGGTACTTGCATGAAAAATTAACTTGATTATTGTTTATTGCAAACTGTAGGAAATCGAAAAAAAATCGATGCGTGTTTTTCTATTTTGTCCAAATATGATTATTTCGGAAGTTATAACAAATATTGAGTTTTATATATATATAGATATATTGAGCATGTGCGACGTCATCACAACTCACAAAGTATTATACCTAAGTTATGACGTCGGAAGAACATTTCAAAGCGTTGTATCTCCGTCAATTTTTGACTCACAAGAAAAAGAAAAAACACGCGTTGACTTATTTTTCATGGACTATCAAAATCCGCAATAAAAAAATTTGATGCAAGGAGCCTATTTGACGTTTGATACACGCATAAAACGTCAAATTGTCAAAGCAATGTCAAAAAAGTGCGAATTTCGCTGTTATGAGTACTTGGCTTAAAGCCTAGTACTCATAACTGCGAAATTCGGATTTTTTTGACATTGCTTCGACAATTTGACGTTTGATACACGCATAAAACGTCAAATTGTCAACGCAATGTCAAAAAAATGCGAATTTCACAGTTATGAGTACTAGGCTTTAGACGTGTTTTTTTGGTCTTCAGACGCAATGTAGACCTAAAAAAGACGTTTTTAAGACACTCTATATGTGTTCTGTCTGGATATGGGTTTCGATATGGTAGGTACCTTTGGTACCAAATAGAAATAGAAACAATTAGGTACCTATTTCGTATCATGGAAAATCTTGTTTCCTTAACTTTGTTCATTTTGGCGGTTTCTTTTGGGTTAGTTTTTATACTCAAACTTTGATATCTAAGATCATGTCATAAATGCCACTTGTCAAGTTTAACGGTAAAAAATAACCTAGCTCTAAGGGCCGGTTTCAGCGAGTCACCTCCTCTTGGTTGGTTTTAACTCCAGGGTACACGTGTCTATAGTTGCTATTTTACCCTGAGAGTTATGCTTAACCCGGGGGTGACTTGACTTGCTATTGAGAAACCGGCCCTAATCGAGATTAACTCTAGAATATAACCCACGTAAGTTTTCATGTGCTTTTTGTTTGATATGCTGCATCAGGGCCGCCGCTACCATGTGTGCGGTGTGTTCAAAACTAATCAAAGCACACAGGCGGCCGATTGAAAGGGGCGGCCGATTGAAAATTAAGTGAAATTTATTAAAAGCTATCCCCCCCTCTCTTACAACTCTTAGCGTATGAGTTGGGGTAAAGACGAAAAGATACGCGCATCTGTAGTGACGTCACAAGGGTATCGGCGCTTGACAATCATAGGCAATCCTCCTTGGTTGTCATTGGCTGTTTTTTTTAATACTAGCAAATAAACACTTGAGTTATCAAATTTTATTATTTTTATTGGGATCTCAAATGTCGTGATGGGACTCCGTGCCATGAATTCGACATATCGAAACATATCGCAGGCCGCACAGTGTAGCGGGCCTATAGAATCCTGTCGATATAGTGACACGGAGTCCCTGGGCAGGGATATGGAAGAGTTATTAGTTAGGATAGAATCAAGGTTGTTTGAGAGAGGTAGGTTGCCTGATAACTCTATGACGTCATCTGGAGTGCCTCAAATAGTGCAAAACTTCATAAGCCACCCAGATGCGTCATCAAGTTATACCCATTTCAAGGCAACCTAATAACTTTAGGAACCTTGGGATCGAAAGGACCGCCATTTTTATCAGTTGTCAAATTCGGGTGTTGGAAAAATAGGTTATCAACTCATAACTCAATAACATCCATAAATGTCCAAAAATAAGCAGAATATTACAAAAAGAAATCTTTTAAAACACCACTCGGATAAAAATATGTCAGAAAAAGCAAAGCAAGCAAAACAATCTGTAACCGACCAAAAGTAAGGTTATGTTGTTGTTGTGAAAAATCTGTCAGATAGAAGTTGTCAACGTAAAAACTACAGAGTAAAAGTAAAAAGTGATAAAAATGGCGGCACCCTATGCGTTACCATAAACCGCATGTTGCTAAATTCACCAAAATGGTGCACCCCACGGATGCGGTGACTTATGGCGTTTCCGATTGGTAGATCTAGTGCAGAACTAGTGCAATTTTTTCTATTTCTGTCTTTTTCTTCTACAGGTCGATTAAAAGGATGCAAATACACTCGGTGCGCATTGAATCTACCAATCGGAAACGCCATAAAATTCACTAATGCCAATGCCAAACCACAGCTTGTCAAAC